CTTTCTCTCAGAGTTAGAAATCTCAACCATGACTGACAAATTCAAGTTTGCTCTTATTGAAAAATTTTAGTGGAGGCACCCACCTATGAAAGTTATCATGAAAAGTTTTGATGATCTCAAATTAGCAGGAAAGTGGAAAGTAGGGCTCATGGATGACAGACATGTATTAATTCAATTAATCGTGGTTGGAGACTACACTCGGATTTTCTCCAAAAAATATCTTAGCATTGCGGGTAAATCAATGAAGCTACTCAAGTGGTCTCCTGATTTTGACCCCAATCATGAACCCCCTGCTGTACATATATGGTTCAGTCTATCAGGTCTCAAGCTGCACTTCTTTCATCATCAGGTTCTTCACTCTATTGAGACCATATTTAGGGACCCTATGAAGCTAGATCTACCGACTTTCAACCCAACCAGACTTTCTTTGGCCAGAATACTTGTGAAAAGAGATATTACTTTACTTGATGTTACTGAAGTTTGGTTGGATACAACTCATAATGGATATTGGCAACAAATCGTCATGAAGCATAGGTCGCCTTATTGTTCTCATTGTAAGATGTTTGGGCATACACTTGATAAATGTCATAAGTTTCATCCTAATTTGAAATCTAAAGGTCAAGTGAATAAGGATGGATCTAATCCCACTATTCTAGACATATTTGTTCCATCTGGAGAGAAAGCTACCACAGGACAGGTTTTGGATATCGCTAACGATCAGCCACCTACCATCCCTGCTGAGAAGGTGCAAACCGATCCTCTACCCAATATCGCAGTTCCTGATGAAGAACACCATACTACAAACACAGATCCAAAAGTGCTTATACTACTCACTGTTATTGAAGAAGACTCATTTACATGCCAAGACACATGATAGTGCTCCTTTGATTCAATAAAAAATCAGCTAGTACGACAAACAATTATTTCTAATGTTCAACATCTTACACAAGTCCGACACACTTTAGACTAATCCACTGATCGAGCGAATCAGTCTTCGGATGAGGAATGACATGTCTATTCCAGGAGGAAAAAGAAGACGGGAGGCAGCTCGAGCTTGGGAACTTATGATATGATCACTACTGGCAATGACACTCATCTTACCAATTTATTAGCTTGCTCCTTTCCTAGAACTAGAGGCAGAAGCAAAGCAAAATAGGGTCGCTCTCTAGCTACCTGATACTACGTTTTTGGCATTTTTTGTTTTTTTCTTTAGGAATCTTGTAATTTTCTGTATTTTCTCTTTTTTTTTAACCATTTTTAGGTGGTGGTTATCGTGGGGGAAAGGTGTCATGCTTGGGCCCTTCCACACAATCCATATGTATCCTTATTTCTTTTAAATATATTAGCCTTTGGGCTTTCTATATATATATATATATACATATAATCAAGTATGAAAATGCACATGCATGAGCTATCTCAGGTAACAAAATTAATGAATTAATCACAAACTAACACTATCAGGCTCTATATCATGAAGTTTTTTAAAACAGAACATCTTTTCAAAAATTTATGTGATTTCTCAATTTTTCCCACTAATAAGCTCAAATTTTAGAGATCATCCAGCATACCAGTAATAAACACCATAAACCAAAAAAGTCATCTACTCCTTAAAGTTAATTTTAGTTAAAACAGGAAACAATCTCAAAATCAAGAATTGAGAACACAAAAAGAGGAAAAAGAGCCTGATAGTGTTATTTTAGTTAAAAAAGTAGGAAACAAGCTCAAAATTAAAAATATTATATTTTAATTAAGACTGGAAAACAACAAAAGAAACCATAAAATCATACACTCTACAAAAAATAAATAAATAAACTTGCACTAATTGCCACACAAAACTTCGTCAGATAAAAGTGAGGAATTTGTCTCTTACCTCCACCTATATCCATGTAATTATTAATTACTTTGATGATTCCAGTAACTGTCACATCATCACCTGGAATGCAAGAATCAACAAGATCTAAAGTCAATTCACACTCCACTGTGCGAGGTACCCGCCCCTCTTCGTAAATCCCAGATTTAAGTATTTCCTGAAGCCTGAATAAAGAAGAAGATTAGAATTTTAGGGCATTTACATACATGGCAAACAATTCTTATGTACAAACTCATATCAGAATTAATCCAAATAATGATAAGCAAATAAATATTATTACTAGAAAAGTCAATAAACAATTACAACAAATATATGAAAATGAAAAATAACAATATACACGATACAAACTCACACTAGGATAGATCTCAGGGGGTGGTGGTGATGGGCGAGGGTTTGGAAACTGGCGGGATAGTGGATGCGTGGGTGGGCAAGCAAAAAACAGCAAGACAGCAGTTTCTCGGGTTCCGAACAACAAATATGCAACAGATATTGACGTGACATTGCTATCCGAGATGATGACAGCAAAGGGGGAGCGCTGGAACAGCAACGGCAGCAAATATGGAGGGCTGGAACAGCGATGACAGCGGGTAAGGAGGGCTAGAACAGCAACGGGAGATGCGGTGGACAACTAGACAGCCAAAGGAGGGCTGTCCTGGGCAACAACAATAAGGAAAATGGCTGGACGACAAGGAAAACAATAAAAGGAGGTTGTTTTGGTCCGTCGCAACAGGGAAGGGGTGGTCGGGAGTGCTGCGGAAGGGGATACATGAGATAATCACCACCTTAGGAGTGAGATGCAACCAAAGCACCTCTCAAACCTTTGGATACAACTTTAAAAGGGAAAACAAAGATACCGTCGGCTGTTCCAACAAAAAACACAATAAAATTGAGGATCCAAACCCTAATACAGCACATATATAGGAGGAATGATAAAGGAAAATCTTTAAGAAAATAGAAAAAAATAAATAATGCCGCCAAGTTTGATCTTCCTACAATCACCGCCGCATAGCGCCCCGCATCATTTACATCTCATACCTAAACTTTCATATTTA